AGACCCACCTTATAAAAGTTAAAAACCAAGTCTAGTTCGCACACGTTGTGGAAATATTCATTCAGCACCTGGAAAAGATAGCATGAGCATGTCAAAAAAATAAGGTCAAAGCTAAACCCACCTCTACAAAATTGTGTATAGCCTCCAGATAATACAGGTTATTGTCCATAATATCGACACAGATACAGAAGTAGAGCCCCGCGTAGCGACGGTAAACAATTTTGAAGTTACGGAACTAAAATACTCGTTATGCAAAAGCGAGAATAGCATGCAAAAGCAACTAAGCGACTTACTTCAACAAAATTCGTGTGCTTAGCATCTCGAACTGTTACGCAGGCATGAACTTCTTCAATCAACTTCTGTAAAACAAAAGTAATGCAATGGGAAGAACGACGAAGGATAGATGAGAGCAGAAAATCGCTAGAGAAGAAAAGCAAATTGCCGCACTTTTATGTTCGTCACTCCTTTACCTGGGAATTCCGATGCATATCATTATCGAATGAAAATCTGTGCGTTAGCGAGAATGTTTTTGAGCAACGCAAAATATCTTCTAAAAAATACTCAAAACCGAGTATCTATCCTAGTCGAAACTTCTAAAAATAGAACTCAATGCGTGATTTTGCTTGATCAGAACGACAACTCTACATATTTTGAGTATTATGAACTTCATCGCTTTAGACATAACCACGGAACATGAATGAAAAAGCATAAATACAAATACCTGCTTTTCATCGTCATCGAAGTGCATATACCATTTGGCAAGGCGAGTTTTTCCTGCTCGGTTCTGGATGAGGATAAATCGGATCATCCCAAGTCAGGAAAACTAAAAATTTGGATTATGCATGTGGAGAGTGAAAAAGTTAGAAAGAAAAACAGTAGCCGGGTAACCAACTGTCTAGCCAAACATATAAACCAAGACCATTTGAGCGGATACCATATCGATTTTCAGAAAGATGGCAAGTTGCCAGTCTAGTACGAACCTTTAATACAGTTGGAGCGCCACAAGCGCTCCTGTTCAAATGCTGCGCTACACTTTTGGCCATGCGGGTACCCGGGATACAATTATGTTTTTTGAAGATTGCTTTAGAGGGAATCACGCAAATTGAGGCCACTTTGAGCGAAGACAGCCTGGAGCAAGCGTATTCAATGATTCAAAGTGCACTATTACTTCACTTCTCAGGTGTGAAATATTATCAATGCTCCGAACTTCTTGCAAAGCTTCCTTTCACTATCTAAGTAGCTACACTACAT